ACAACAGTTCCAAGTTCTCCACATTCTTGCCAACACTTGTTATTTTTGGTTTTTTTGATAGTAGCCATCCTAATGGATATGAGGTGGTATCATTGTGGTTTTGATTTGCGTTTCTCCAGTGATTAGTGATACTGAGCATCTTCTCATGTTTTTACTAGACATTTGTAGACCTTTGGAGTAATGTCTAAGTTCTTTGCCTATTTTTGAGTCAGGTTTTTTGTTTTTGTGTTATTGAGTTTTAGGAGTTTTCTCTATATTCTTGATATTATCAGATATGTGGTTTGCAAATATTTTTTCCCTTTCCCTGTGTTGATTGTGTCCTTCGTTTGTTTTTGGTGGCTGACCAGTACAGGGGTTGAACCCTGGACCTTGATGTTATCAGCACCTCGCTCTCACCAACCGAACTAACCAGCCAGCGGTTGTGTCCTTTGGTACACAGCTTCTAATTTTTATGTAGTTCAATTTATCTGTTTTTTCTTTTGTGACCTGTGTTTTTGGTGTCATACCCAAGAAATCATTGCCAAATTCAATGTCTTGAAGTTTTTATGTTTTCTTCTAGGAGTTTTATAATTTCAGGTCTTACAATTAGATCTTTAATTTACTTTTGAGTTAATTTTTTCATATGGGGTTAGGTGAGGGCCCAGCTTCATTCTTTTGCAGGTGGGTATCCAGTTTTCGTGATGCCATTTGTTGAACGGTCTTTTCCCCATTGAATGGTCTTGGCACCCGTGTTGAAGATTACTTGGCCATATATTTGAGGGCTTATTTCTGGCCTCTCTATTCTGTTCTTGTGGTCTCTACATCTGAATTTTTGTCACTACCACACTGTTTTGATTACTGTAGCTTTGTGGTAAGTGTGAGCCCTCCAACTTCATTCTTCTTTTATAAGATTGTTTTGGCTATTCAAGATCCCTTGAGATTTAATATGAATTTTAGGATGGATTTTTCTATTTCTGAAAAAAGCATTATTGGCATTAGGTAGGGATTACATCGAATCTGTAGGTTGCTATGGGTAGCATTGCGATCTTAACAATATTAAGTCTTCCAATCCATGAACACGGGATGTCGCCCTGAGGCCGTGTCTCTCTGTGTCTCAGGCGCTGTGGTCATTGCCTTTGTGGTCTGCTGGCTGCCCTACCATGTGCGGCGTCTGATGTTCTGCTACATTTCAGATGAGCAGTGGACTCCGTGAGTACTGGGAGGCTGGGAGCCTGGGCAGGTGGGAGGTGTGGCGGTGGGGGGCACTGCTGAGAGGACCAGCTCAGGGGCAGGGGTGGACTGAGTCCCTCCCAGCAGACCCCCACCTCTGGCTTCCACAAGGCTGTCACTGGGGCCCAAGAGAAGACTGCAGAGGGACAGATTCAGAGCAGGGGGAGATACCCACAGAAAGGTGCTCAGCGGGTACAGGTTGAAGCAGAAAGGAAAGAAGGTCCTAAGATGGTTTCACATAAGGTCTTAAGAAGACAAGAGGGGATGGCCCTGCTAGGAGGTGTAGGAAGGGGTGCACTCCTGATGTGGTGGCAGCTGTGGGGGGACCCTAGGCCACCCCCAATACTCAGCACAGAGCTGCACTCACGGCTGTGACTTACACAGCAGAAGGACACATAGCCGAGTCAGCAAAGAGAAAAGATGCAGGGGGCAAAGTCAGGGGAGACCAGACGTGGCTTCCAGAACCTCCCAGTGAGTCTCACAGGACAGGCTTCATCCCCCACCATGAGCTGTGACAATAGGTGTGGATTGCTGTCAGCCAGGAAACTCACTGGAGACTCAGCACCAGATTTTTATTGGGGGCTGGTCATGAAGGCACCCACTGCCAGGCATGCACCAAAATCCCAGCCTCCCAGAAGAGATAGCAGGTGTTCAGCATAAGCCCATTGTTTGCACAAACGGTTCAGGCGCAGTGAGCCCCTCCTGTTGGAAATGGTGGGAGCCCTCACAAAATCCAAGTTGCTAGATGCCGACTGAGAGCCGCTGTGGGCTTCTGCATGGCAGGGCTGCCAGGCCCGAGGGTAACAGATTCTTCTAGAGTAAGAAGTAAGCGCTGGGGAGGGCATATCAAGGAGGAGAAGTTACAGGGAACAGAGTATGGCCCCAAGAAAGGTTTCTGAATCCCAGGGCTGCCCGGGGCAGGGGTGGCCTAACCAGGGAGGGGCTGCCTGTGGTTTAGGCAAGCAGGCTGATGAGGGCACAGCCCTCCGCGAGGTGAGCAGGCTCCTGCCCTGGCTGTTGGGTTAGCCAGGACCAGCCAAGCGCTGCAGCCCTAGGATGCAGGGACTCTGCACAGGACCCTGAAGGGCGGTCCAGGTGGGCTGCAGGGAGAGGTGGGGACCGGGGCAGAGTAGAGAGACCACACCCTGCCTAAAGAAGACCAGCGACTGGCAGGAGTGCGGCGGGACTTCCAACTTCTCGAGAGAGGCCGGAACCCTGGACTTGATTATGAAACACCCCACGTAAAAAATTCTCAATTCGTTTTTAAATTAGTCTCCCAAGCCACCATGTCTGCTGGCCGCCGCTGGCCACGGGCTGTCCCTGCACATGCATCAGGGCCCGGCGGGGGTCTGAGCGCCTCTGTCCCGCCAGGTTCCTCTACGACTTCTACCACTACTTCTACATGCTGACCAACGCGCTCTTCTACGTCAGCTCCACCATCAACCCCATCCTCTACAACCTCGTCTCCGCCAACTTCCGCCACATCTTCCTGTCCACGCTGGCCTGCCTCTGTCCCGTGTGGCGGCGCAGGAGGAAGAGGCCGGCCTTCTCCAGAAAGGCCAACAGCGTGTCCAGCAACCACACCTTCTCCAGCAACACCACCCGGGAGACACTGTACTAGGGCCTGGTGGAGGCGGCGGGAGGCCGGGAGGAAGCCAGTCTCTTGGCCTCACCCCACGACACTCAGAGCAGCAGCCCCCGCCCAGACCCTTGGTGGGGTCAGCCAGAGGCCAGTCTGAGGCCTGGGACCGGCACCCGTGTCCCAGAGGCCGCGTTTCTTCTCAGCTACCCGCCCCATCCCCCTCCTCTCCTCTCTGAAAGCCAGAACAAGAGGTTGTTCCTCTCCCTGATCCGAAATAGTGAGAAGTTAGTGCCCAGTGAAAGGCAGTTTCCTGTTCCCCGACTGACGGGTGCTTAGAGACAAGGGACTGAACGGAGCGCGTGGACTGGGCCGTGGTGACCGGGCTGCTGTCATCAGTCCCTGGGCGCCCCGCTAGCAGGACTACTGGACGCATGAATGGGAGAGAGAGGGCACGGGGCTCCGTCCCGCCTCTGTCCAGCTCGGGGGCAAGTCCAGCACCAGCTCCAGCAGGCACTGTGGCTTGTGCCTCCCAAGGCGGTTCCGAGAAAGCCCCCGATGCCCTTTTTCAGGCCCGCAGGGCTTGGGGCTACCACTGGGGCAAGTTGTCCCTTCCTGCTGCCCTCACCCAGGTGGCCATGCCCCCCAGGAGGACCGTGTGCCCAAAAAGTACAAAAAGGGGCCGGCCTGGAATTGCCCAGACCCCGGCCTCCCCCTCCTCCTGGCCTGTCCCCACCCAGGCCACGGCTCAGGGGCTCTGTGGAGACACCATGCGGGAGGGGGCTCGGACCTCGACCTCACAGGCCCCCACTGTGGTCTTTCAGGTTTCACAGAGGGAATGCCAAGTCAGCGGTGCCTGGCCTCCCCCACTGCCCAGGTGGCCAGGACAGGGGTGAGCTCCCGTGTGCTCCTAGTCCAGCAGTCAGGGTGGGCGCCCTGAGCAGGGTGATATTGGCCAGGGATGATGGTCCTGGGGCCTGAGGACTGGGGCCACAGGTAAGGAGGGAGCCGTGCACCCGGGCAACCAAGCTGGCGAATGTCGCCAGTCAGCAGGTGGCCGTCCCAGCTCCAGGCACCAGAAAAGCAGGCACCTCCTTGGTCTCCAGGAGCTGGTCTCCAAACAGGAGGCTCTTGGAAGGCTGCCCGAGCCCAGGAAGACAGGTACCAGCACAGGCTGCCCTGGACCTGGGGGCAGAAAAGGCCCAGGAAGCAAAACTCAGCCTTTTTCACAGGAGGTTTTCACTGTCTTGGGGCATCCTTTGCCCAGAGAGAAACGAGTTGGTGGGCAGATCTCCTGCATGGGCAATATTGAATTGGGACTCTGGGGACCTGGTCAGGGGCTGGTCAGCCACTTTCCTCTCTCCAGACTCAGTTTCCCTATCTGTAATATGGTGAGTTGAATGCTGTAGTATCTGCCACCCTGCTATGAATTGGCATTATTTTAACGCCACTAAATCCCTCTCCAGCCACATGATCCTTCCGTATACCAAGAACAGGGCCCAGGGGAGTGAGGCCCACTTGCTGGGCTTCCTGCCAAATGGTGCCTCCCAAGATCCTGGTTGCCCAGGGAGATGCAGCTCGCCAGGGGTTTTTCCTCCCCCCGGACCCACAGGGGTCTGCTCTGGACAGGGGGCTTTGCCCAGAATGGTGTATCCAGAGGTCAGTGCAGTCCCACCCCCGCTCAGTGAGTAAGCTCAGAGTTCAGCAAACTCTCAGGCCCCTGAGTCTGGCACCAGGCACTGGGCTTCTGAGTGAGGACTTGGACTTGGGGCCAGACAGTCCATCCTCAGACCCCTCCCTGGGGTTCCTGGAACTCAGGCATGCCACGATTCCTCAGAGACTCAGTTTCCCCACCTAAGATCAGGCACAGTCATCCACCCTCTTGTCTGGATGTGACTGTCCTGGAGGATCCAGCCCAGGACACACAGAGGAATGGTCCCAGATGTGGGGACAGGATCGACACCCCACTGCCCAGACCCTCTGTAGATGCAGGTGGTGCAGGATCTGCCAGGGCAGGGTCTGGGGCTGTAACCTGACGTCCGCTTTAATGTTGTGGTCTGCATGTGCCTGTCTGTGCTCTCAATGTAGGTAGGGACACGTGTCCATGCACCATCTGTGACACCCCCATTTAGTGTCACTAGCTCTCAGCCGAGTCTTATTGAATTCAGAAAGCCGCCTGAGTGCGGTGAGCACGTCTGCCTGTGGAGTCCAGAGTCCTTGTGACTGCCCTGTAGTGGTGGCAAAACTATCGTTTCAAATGTTGCTCACATGCCCTCAGGCGACACACCTGCCCCTCCCCACCCTGCTGCAGCCAACCAGAGCACCCCCCCA